CTACTGTGCCCATCTCAGTTATCTTGACCTTGGACTCTGGGGTGCAGGAGCAGATGTTCTGGTCAGGTGGTCAGCCAAACGCGGAACCCCCAGTGTTCAGTTCCCAAGCATGCTTGGTACTTATTTATCGACCCACTGAAGGGATGAAAGGCTGAGTCAACCTTGCCCGGCCCGAGGATCGAACCAGGGACCTGCGGCACGACAGCGCGAAGCGCTACCGCTCAGCCACCGGGCGTCAACCGTTACTGTATGAAAGAAAAAAAAATTACCAAATTAATCATTTAAATATCGTATATTATAGTTTTATTACCAGAATAATGGTTTGTTTTCCCTCAGAAATGTCATACTATACGACGGTCATTTTACCGAATTGTTTTGCTCCTTGTGTAAATCAGTTTTAGGTGACTTTATTATTAACAATATCACATTTTTTTTTGTCAAACTGATTTTAACACACTCATAGATTGCTAATAAAATGATAAAATTACTTCCTTAGATTTAACCCAAAAATCAGAACCTTAATTTTCTTCCATAAAGAGATCTAATGACGCGAACTCTCAAAAATTGTAATGTAATTTAGAAGTGAAATTAATAATCATTTTTATCCCGAATACATGCTTTTGAACATTTTTTAACATTTAAAATTTTACTAATCCTTTTTATGTTGTACCTACATCCTACATGAGCAACTGAAATATTTCTTGCTTCGTTCTAGCTCATTGATGTAAATCGGTTTACAAGTGCAGACAAAATATGCCACTTAACAGAAAATATGTTTTTAGGATTACAGATGAAACGGTCATTGATTTTTTATTCCTTAGAACATAAATAACAAAAACTTTTGTTCAATTTCATTAAATTCTCCGTAATAATATAGGAGTACATGTAAATGAAAAGAAAAGCTCATTCACGGGTGAGAAAGTAGTAAAATAATTAAAGAAATAAACGAAAAAAGTATGCGATTCCTCATTTATTCGTTTGTTTTAAACTAAACAAATATGCTTAATGCATTTAGTTGAACTTCTGTGAGCAAGGTATTTAAAAATACGACTGACAAACTCAGAGAAATGCACTAAGAGGAATAAAAAGGCACTAAGAGGATGGAAAATTACCATTGATTAAAGAGTTAAAAACCACGTTGAGATAGTTAAAATCGCAACAAAAAAATCCATGCCGGTATTTGATTCTCCAATCTAACGGCGTATAACGATCCGCTCCTCTGTTAATAATTTTTTTATTAAATAAAATAAAAACTTGATTCTTGACATTTTTTGAGCTCAGGCAACAAATTTTAAAAGAAACAAAAACTTGTATAGGAACCAACTACAGCTCAAGAAGAAAAAAATCACCGTCACACTGAAAANAAAAAAAAAAACTAATTTCTTTGTTTTTGTGAAATTTTACTTACCAACGGTACAAAAAATAATTTCTCAGTTAAAAATCTACTTCTAATTTTAATTTGTAATTCAATACTTTTGTTTTGTACAACTTGATAAGAGTCTCACAGTAATATTTAATGTTCCTTCAAACATAAAAGAGTATGAAATTTTGATACAGCTGCGGCCCGCCATTTGACTGGTGTTTTTAATTTCGACCCCCGGCCTTATGTAAGTTGCAAACCCCTGCTTTAGAGCATGGTACAAAAAAAATTTATTCGATTAAATTCACTTTTCTGTTTTGAATTTTTTTTAAATGTGTGGTAATAAGAACTATAATTTTGAAAACCAGAATTTTTTGCATACTGTTATCATATGAATGGAAAAATTACCAAATGAACTGTTTAAATACCGTATATTTAGGTTTTTTATAACAGAATTATGGGGCTTTTTGTCACGAAATTTGATGGAAAATTTACCAAATGAACTGTTTAAATACCGAATATTTAGGTTTTTCATAACAGAATTATGGGCTTTTTGTCACGAAATTTGATAAGAGTGGCAAATTTAGTAATTTTGTCATACTTTAGAGAAGAGGATAACTATTAATTATTTGATTAAATCCAGGATTCGGGTAAACCGTTACTGTATGAAAGAAAAAAAATTACCAAATTAATCATTTAAATATCGTATATTATAGTTTTATTACGAGAATAATGGTTTGTTTTTCCTCAGAAATGTCATCACCATATTATACGACGGTTATTTTACCTAATTGTTTTACTCCTTGTGTAAATCACTTTTAGGTGACATTATTATTAACAATGTCACATTTTTTTCGTCAAGCTGAAATTGACTTACTCATAGACTGCTAATAAAATGATAATATTACTTCCTTAGATTTAACCCAAAAATCAGAACCTTAATTTTCTTCCATAAAGAGGTCTAATGACGCGAACTCTCAGAAATTGTAATGCCATTTAGAAGTGACATTAATAATCATTTTTATCCCGAATACATGCTTTTGAACATTTTTTTAACATTTAAAATTTTACTAATCCTTTTTATGTTGTACCTACAGGAGCAACTGAAATATTTCTTGTTTCGTTCTAGCTCATTGATGTAAATCGGTTAACAAGTGCAGACAAAATATGCCACTTAACAGAAAATATGTTTTTAGGATTACAGATGAAACGGTCATTGATTTTTTATTCCTTAGAACATAAATAACAAAAACTTTTGTTCAATTTCATTAAATTCTCCGTAATAATATAGGAGTACATGTAAATGAAAAGAAAAGCTCATTCACGGGTGAGAAAGTAGTAAAATAATTAAAGAAATAAACGAAAAAAGTATGCGATTCCTCATTTATTCGTTTGTTTTAAACTAAACAAATATGCTTAATGCATTTAGTTGAAATTCTGTGAGCAAGGTATTTAAAAATTCGACTGACAAACTCAGAGAAATGCACTAAGAGGAATAAAAAGGCACTAAGAGGATGGAAAATTACCATTGATTAAAGAGTTAAAAAACCACGTTGAGATAGTTAAAATCGCAAAAAAAAATCCATGACGGTATTCGATTCTCCAATCTAACGGCGTATAACGATCCGCTCCTCTGTTAATAATTTTTTATTAAATAAAATAAAAACTTGATTCTTGACATTTTTTGAGCTCAGGCAACAAATTTTAAAAGAAACAAAACCTTGTATAGGAACCAAGTACAGCTCAAGAAGAAAAAAATCACCGTCACACTGAAAAACAGCTAAAAAAGATACTGCAAAGTTGCTTATTATAAAGAATATATATATTTGATTAATTATAACGTAAACGTGTCTAAAGTGACACCTAACGTAACGTGTTTAAAGTGACAACTAAAGTAACGTGTTTAGAGTGACACCTGCTGATGTCATTTCATAGTCTACAACGATAAGAAAATTATTTCCGATTGAGATCGGAGGTGCCAGGTAAGCTTTAAATGTCTTAAAGAGCAGCGATAATCTCCAGTATCCCAACATTATCTGGTGAGTCGTAATGGCTCAGGGGATTGAGAGCAGTGAGACCAAAACAGTTTCCCGACAGTTTGTTCTGTTTCTTTAAATCGCCACTTTTTGAATGATGACACAAACTGAAATAATATCTTGGTAAAAATTCCAATCCTCCAGTAACCTATTTATATTAAAGGAGAGCTTTTATTACTACCATGTTTAAAAATTTAAATTAAATTTCAGCTAAATAATCTAATCAATAATTATTTATAATTATGGACATGTCAACTGATTATTTTATAATCAAAGATTTTCCCCCTTTTTTATCACTGAAAAAAGCAGTTCATTTATGAAGTGAATTTTCACAGATTAGACATCCACTTCCATAATGTTTAATTTTTTAGCACAACTCTAATGGCAAGCAAATTTAAAGGGAAAAAAAGTTTATATTTCTAAACCCTTCATGGGTGAAACTAATTAACGAACTTTTATTAGAAGTAAACCATAACACAGCTAATGATAAAAATTTAAGACTGAAAACGATTAATTTTAGCTTTGGAATCAAGGTTTAAAAGCTCAAGGTTTAAAAGCAAGGTTAAAAGCTTAAAACTTCCAAGTTTTAAGCCTTTTTTTTAAAAAAAAGTTCTATTTCAATGAAAATAATAAGAAAAAGTAAAGCATTCCTGAAACGGCTATATCATGGAGAATAAGGACCCACTGCTTCGTGAAAAACGGCATAATTGTGGTAAGGTGGTCAACATTGCACACAAGCCGCCTTTACTTCCCAGATAAACTGGTAGTACCCTACAGTCTGAATCTGGGTAGGCTTCAAATCATCCCTCAGGATAGAACCCTGTCTTTCACAATGGCTGGGCCTTTAAACCCATGAACCCTAGGAGATACCACCCAAATAAATAATACGTCAATATAGCCGTGGTGGCTCAGGGGATAAAGCGTTTGCCTTCCAATGAGGTGACCCGAGTTCAAATCCCAGCGATGGCTGATCGATACGAATTTCGCACCGGCTAGCACCGACCACAGTGCTGACGTAAAATATCCCCAGTGGTAGACGTATTGTGAGTTAGAGTCCGTTTGGCTAAGCGTGGGAGGTTCTCGCGGTTTTCCTCACTATGTTGCGAAATGCGGATCCTCCACTAAGGCAAATTTCTCCCAATACTTGATCCAGAAGTTGCGTTGTCTTCTGGATTGGGTTCAAAATTACAAGGCTACGGACTTCAATATTCGCAATCGTAAACCTAAAAAATTGCGTCAACTGTTCAACGACGGTAATAAAATGAAATATTACGTCAAAACTATGTAAAGATGACAGTTCATTTCATAATTCATAAAAAAAGAAAATACTTTTTTTTTCAAATATTTTGTCAAAAAGAACTTAAAATAAAATATTTGAACGAACTTAAAAAATAAACAAATAAGAAATGAAATATCCATTATTATCAACCCAAAATTAAGTTAAAATCATTTTTCATAAAAATTTAGTAGTTTTGAATGTTGCTTTATGCATTTAATTTCTTTGTTCGCTATAAACTTTCAAAAGCTCTCAAGGACTAAATTAAAATCTGAAATATAAATAGCTAACTTAATTAAAATTCAATTATTAATGCTTTTATACTTACTATTTAAATCACGTCCACGTCTATATTTTGGATCAGATGTCACAATTCTATACAAGTTTAGGCTTTCAGATGCTCGGATGGATGTGGGGGGTGGTTTATCTTCAGAAACATAGTCAGTGGAATTTTCCGAATTATCGTCTGCACCTGCTGCTTTATTTTGATCGAGTTTTATTTTAGTAGGATCCATGTCGTCACATCGTTCTTTGGGAAAACCATTAATAAAAGCCAGAGAATTTTTTAGGAATACTAATGCAAATATGTTTAGAACAATTACAAAGGAATTCATGGTCTTAGTGGAGTAGAGAGGAAATTAATGGGACTATTTTTTTTAAAACGTCCGCACCGGGGAAAATCTGTTTCGAAAGTGAAAGAGCGAGGGAAATTTTTGTTTCGCTCCGTTTGGCAGCACCGGGAGTATTTTCCCACACGTGACTGCTTTGTTGTGTTTGAGGGCGGTAACGGGCATGGTTTTTGTTGTTTTATGAATAAAAGTGAAATATTTTTAACATTGTTGGAACACTGTTACAAAAAGACGCTATAGCTGAATGTTGTCTGAATTTATGTTCTTCGTAGATAAGTTAAGCGAGTAAATGTAGAAAAATTTTGAAATAAAAAAAGATTAGGATATTATAATTTGCAAAGAAATTTTTAACAAAATAACACCTGTTAAGATTTTAAAATCATTAATAAAATAAGTTTAAAATAAAGTGCAACACAAAACTAATAGGAGAACATATTTCGGCTATTTATTTCTTAAAGTTTAACCCTTTGACGCAGAATTATTGTCAAAAACAAAGTTATTGCTTTTATAATAATTAAATAACTGTACTTAATTAACTTAAATAACTAATTAACTTTCTAATAATTTGTATAAATCAAATAAAATTTTGTGCAAACATAATTCATTAAAATGTTTTTCTTATGTCTGCTGATGTTAGGGAAGTTAGTCCTATAGTTTTATTTCTCACTTCTCTAAAATTAAAAAGCTCATTAATTTTCAAAAAAGTTGTATCTCTCAACGAACAAATATAGCTTTCACAATTTTGTTTTCAAAATAGTTTAAAATTGTTGACACTTATTTAAATGAAAAAAATGCGTTCAGATCTTTCGAGTCAACAATTAACTAAAAACTAGCTTAAATAACTTTTCATATAAACAGATCATTTTAAGTAAGTAATCATTGCTAACGCATCCGAAAATGAAATCAGATATTAATTTTTAATGGATACAGTGGACCAAAAAAGAAGAAGAAAAAAACGGACCTCTCTTCATAACTTTTGATTTAATGATCGGATCTTTCCGTTTTAGGACTCATTTCTAAAGGTTCGAGGGGATGACCTAAAATATGCAAATTAATTATAGAGACGATATTTTAAGTCTCAAAATTAGACACAAAAACTACTTTCTCTGAATAAACATACATTTTTTTCAATGGATTCGGGTTTCTGTACCCCAAATTATAAGGGGTATCCGCAATTCGGGAAATATAGTCTCCATAGTTTGGTCAGGAGAACGATCCAAAGTTTGGACCCATAACTTTATTTTTTGCGTATTTCACCCTATCTAGAGAACTTTTTAACCAAATTTTAAAAACAATTGTGCACAATCATAAAATCCATTAATCCAAAGATAATTCCATGCAAAAAAAAAATTTTAAATATTGATTATTTTATTTAATAATAGTCGAAAAAATTTTGATTTGTAAGGTAAGAAATTTTTTGCATCATTTTAAACTATGTAATTTTACCTGGCAAAATGCAAAATTTGAGCGAAATCGGTTGAATAGTTCCTGAGGAATAGAATTTTAAATATACAACTTATTTAAAATTAGATTTCTCAGGAACTATTCAACTGACTTCGCTCACATTTCGCATTTTGCCTCATGAAATTACATACTTTAAAATGAAGTAAAATATTGTATACCTTACAATTCAAAATTTTTTCGGTTATTATTAAATAAAATAATTTTAAAAAAAATTTTACTGAAACTTATTTTCTGAATAGAATTATCTTTAGATAAACGAATTTTTTAATTGTGTCCAAAACTTTTCAATTTGCTTAAAAAGTTATCGAGATATGGCGAAATGCACCAAAAGTAAAATGGATATTAAGGGGTCAGAATTTTGGATCGCACTCCTGACCAAACTATGGGGACTATATACTAAAATTAGCATACTTGAGATTACTTTCTTGAACCATTAAGAATGAGTCCTGAAATATGAAGATCTGATCATTAGATTAAAAGTTATTCAGGGTAGCGCAATTTTTTTTTTCTTTTTTTTTTTTTTTGGAACACTGTATCTACTCAAAAATAATATTCGATTTCACTTTCCGATGAATTAGTAATGATTACCTACTTAAAATTATCTGTTGACCTGGAAAGGTCAACAGATAATTTTAAGGCTAGTTTTTTGTTAATTGTTGACACGAAAGATGTAAACTCATTTTTTCATTTACATACGTATCAACAATTTTAAACTGTTTTAAAAGCAAAATTGTGAAATCTATATTTGTTATTTGAGAGTTACAATAACTTTTTCGAAAATTTATGAGTTTTTTTGATTTTGGAAAAGAAAACAAAAGGACTAACTCCTCTAACACCTGCAGACATTTAAAAAAATAAATAATAATAATTAATAATGTCTGTACAAAATTTTATATCATTCTTTTCAATACATTTCTCTCATACATATATGCGCAATAAAAAATTTTTTATACCAATAATTACATTTATCGTACTTTGAAATTATATGATAACCAGATAAAAAAAATTTTTTTTTTTTGAAAACAGTGTTTTTTTCAAACGGGCTGGCAAGATAACATCTATACATCTTTACCATTAATACCTTGTCTGTTGCACACTAAATAATTGAGTCGATTTCTTTTAAAATGCTTTTAAATACACTCTATAACAAAAAAATCGACGCACCAAGAAGGAGTTGTCCGATTGAAACGAAAATTGGTGGATAGGAACACAATGTACAGAATAGTAAATTATTAAAATTTCAGAACAATTGAATAACTTATTGCAGAGTTACAGTAACAAGTTCAATAAGGTGTTGACCTGCCTCTAGCCTGGATACAAGCTGCCACACGGCGTGGCATAGGCCGATAAGGCTCCCGGGTGATCTCTTACGGTATTTCCTGCCAAATTCGATCCAATTATCGAACAAGGTCATCAACATTCCGTGCCAGATGCTTCCCATCATATCCCAGATATGCTCGATGGGAGAGAGATCTAGTGATCTGGCAGGCCAAGGAAGAATTTGACAAGCTTTCAGACAGTTCATAGCAACACGTGCCGTATGTGGTTCGGCATTGTCCTTCTGAAAAACCAACCCAGGGAGCTGCAAAAAGAACGGTAGCAAAACAGGTCATAGGATGTCGTCGAAGTACCGCTGTGCAGTTAAGTGTACCTCTAATGACGACCAAAGGGGTCCGGCTGTCAAAGGAAATGGCACCCCAGACCATAATGCCTTGTTGAGGGCCGGTGTGGCGTGCAATAGTGAAGGCTGGATCCCCCCTCTGCCCTGTGCGTCTCCAAACACGTCTTCGATGATCGCAGGACACAGTTGGACAAGCGGGATTCGTTGCTAAAGACTATACGTCCCCAGTCGGCATCATTCCAGCCTGATCGAGCGTCGATTTTGCGCGTCTTAGTGCGTTCTTGGTGTGTCGAATTTTTTGTTATAGAGTGTATGTCTAAAAAAAATTACTGTCCTACCGTTTAGAGAAAAACAAGACAAAAATCACAAGGTAACGAAGATTCTAACAACTTTGAATGTACAGCCTGAAATCAATAAACTATATAACATTACTTAACTGTTATTAGTTAGTTTACCCCAATTTAACGGTATTTACCAATAAGATTTATTGATCATCTCTTTTTAATATTACACGGGTACTTTTATACTTTTATACCACATTTTATGATAAAAATTTAATTATATTCTTATAGTTATTAAAGGATAAATGATACATTTACTTTTAATAAATTAGATTTACTTTTGTAATAACCTTCACATAAAACTGTGTTTGAGCAAACTTTTTCAATTAAAATAATGAACACAAAACATCTAGTTTGAATTTAGAAGAATTATTCAAAGTTACTTTTCGTACTATTGTTGAAAACTCACTTTAGCGTAAAAAATCACTTCAACGTATGTTTAAAAAAATCACGTTTTTACTTCAAGGGTTCCTATAGTCATCAAAAATTAAATATGAATTTTTTAAAAAAAAATTGTTTATGAAGTTGCAAATGTAACCGAGTAAAATTATTAGTTTTAAAATTTAGATAGAGTTGGAATTTAAATAAAGTTGAAATTTTAATCAGAACGGAAAATTCTTTTAAATTTTTTTATTTAATTAACCAAGGGAAAAAATCTTTTATTTCACTTTGCCAGTCTATTCATTCAAAAATAAGCATTTAGAAAACTCACTTCAATAATCTTGAAACAAGTGAAAATATCTCTCACACATAATAAGTTTATCTCCACGATAGAAAATTATAAATGACTTGATTACAAGAATATTTCACGCCAAACCGAACATAAGTAATGCAGTTCCAATCCATCATCTAAGATAAAATTCTATGTCTAAAATAATATCATATAGTAATATTATGAATATTATATAGTAATATCATTAATATTATATAAACTCTTAAGCAGATTGGATGATTTTCCTAACATTAAATTGTATTTGTTTCAATTAATTTATATCTGCAGCTAAGCTGAGCTTTAAGCATTACCGAAGTCATGACAGAGTTACAAAGCGTAACTCTGAGTTATTACAAACTTACAAAGCGTTATTTGGTTACACCAAAAAACGCTTTCAACAACAACAAAAAAAGACGGAATTTGACGAATTTTTAAATTATATATATTGAGTCGTGGTGGCTCAGGGGATGGAGCACTCGCCTCCCAATGAGGCGACTCGGGTTCGAGTCAGAGCGATGGCTGGTCAATACGAGTTCCGCACCCTGCTCGCACCGACCTCAGTGCTTACGTAAAATATCCTCAGTGGTAGGCAGATCATGGGTTAAAGTCCCCTTATAGAATAACCGTGGGAGGTTTTCGTGGTTTTCCTTTCATGTAACTCAAATTCGAGTTAGTTGCTCCACGAAGATTAATTTCACCTAATACTTAATTCCAGGAGTTTGCCTTCTGGGTTGGGTTCAAAATTACATGGTTTACGAAGTCGGACATTTATAGTCATAAACTCAAAAATTGGGTCGGCTGTTTAAAAAAAAAAATTAACTATATCGTATGCAGTATATATTAAGTAATTGAAATATAACACAATTACTATAGAAATCACCACTAAAAATATTCAGCACTTACATTTGTTTCGATTCTTTATTAGTGAAACCTCCAGAAAGGC